TTTTTATTTTTTTTTTATTTTTTTTTCCCTTGATATGTGCTTTTTACGTTACTGTTGTCTTTCTTAGCCTCTCTCCCACTGTTGTCTCCCCCTTTGTTCCTGGAATATTTCACATGTGTTAAAAATAAAATACAATAAATATACAAATAAAAAGAAATCAACCAACATGAAGGGCCTATACAGAGTCTATAGAGCCCCTCATGGCAAAGCAAATATGTCTGACACAGCAGTGCATTCAGACCATTATTCTGCTTGCTAAAGCTGCCGGACAGGACACATTAAAAAAAAAAACAATAACTCAAAATTGAACACTTATAATACGGTCCTATACCGCTAAATCAAAAGTCAGCGTATTCATAATAACTCTTGAAATTATTAATTTATAACACGTGAAGCACTACACAATACACTCACTTTTCAATACTAAAACATTCAAATCGCTTCGAGTTCAGTATGCACAACAGAAATTAATCCACGTTTAAAGCACACTGGATTATAAAGCACACTGTTATTTTTTAAGAAAATCAAAGGCTTTTTAGTGCGCCTTATAGTGCGGAAAATACGGTAATTGATTTTTTAACCAGTCAGCTAACTTGGTGGAAAAACAAACTTTGTATACCATGCAGTGTTTCCCCCCAGGTTTACAGCTTTGGGGGGGGCAGACGAACCAGTTCTTTTAATGACAGCAGTCAATGTAACAACTGAACTAAACATCAGAACATTTCTTTTTATGACAATTATCCATATGGGAAGTTCAAAACGTCTGGCTCATTCATTTATGCAGGCTGCTAAATGGTCTCCTTGCAGCCGATTGCAGATGTTTGTCTTGACCTGCAAATACATTAACTATTAGGCTTTAAAAGTGATAGCTGATAACTTTAAATAGTGATTGTTTAAAGCAGAAAATCCCATTATGAAACGTATTTATTACCATGTTCATGGTTGAGATGTCCCTCTCACAGTTTACACTGCTGACCGGGTGGTTGACGCGACATATTTTCCGACGCGCGGTCTCTGTCCGCTGGTGGGAGTGTGCTCACCTGTGTGTGCGCGCTCATGTGTCTGTGCATGTGCATCGGGGCGGAACTCCACCACGCGCGATACAGAGAGCAGAAGAGAATTGTAAACGCACGACTGTGTAGAGACAAAAATGACAAGCTGTTATGTAAATAAGATAAATAACATAAGGCTATTTAATTTGTTTAATAAAAGGAAAATGTATAGACCTGTTCTATAGGAAAGGTAACCTTAAATGACTTCTGTTGTGACCTGGCGCTATATAGAAAATAAAATTAACTTGACCTTCAAGGGGGGGTCGGGAGGTGCCGTTGAGGGGGGGGGGGGCGCCCCCCTGATATAATAGTAGGGGAAACACTGATGCCTATGCATGAATGCGTACACACATGCTGGTAGAGCTGTGTCAGAATGCTACCAAACATTACCGGCATTATTTTGTGAATACAGCCCCCTCTCCAAATAAAAAGACCATTCTCTCCATCTTTTAACACTTTATTGATAAATTATAAATATTACTCATGGTTAATACATTCAGCTTCCATCGCCACTTCCTTCATGTCCTCCTGCATCATCTCTGCCTTGGCCTTAATCTGGTCCTCCACTGCTTTTCCACCATTTCCTTCTGCAGCACCACTCATGTTTCCTCCACTGTCTGTTCCACCCAAAAGGTCCGCCAAAATTGCCTCGATCTCAGCTTGTATCTTTTTAATTGCTGTTTGCGTCTTGTCTATGTCCTCTGAGACTGCCTCAGTCTCGGCTTGTAACTCCTCCACCCTTGCCTTGTTATCTTCCACCGGTGCCTCACTCACTTTTATCTCGTCTTCTGCTGTTTTTTCTCCATCCATCTCTCCCTCCACCTCAGCGTGGTTTTCGTCTCGCTCCTTCACATCAGTTTTTGATTTGTCTTGTTTTATTCCTTTCATTTTTTTTGCAAAAGTAAACATCTTCACACAGAATTTCTTTCTTTTCTTTTCTGGCTTAATCTCTTTCTTTTCGGGTTCTTCCGCAGCCTCATCGGCCACCACTGGGGGTCTAAAGCAGATGAAAAAGGACCACTTCATCTTTAGATGCATGACGTTCAATGTCTGATTTGTTCTGAAGTGAAACAAGTGCTTATATCACATTTCATAGTTCCGGAATTCTGACATAGCGGTTGTCATAGTAATGTACCTTCAAAATTCTATATGAAATATATATGAAATTGTGTAAATAAGATAAATAACATAAGGCTATATAGTAAAAGGAAAATATATAACCTGTTCTATAGGAAAGGTAACCTTAAATGACTACTGTTGTGATCTGGCGCTATATAGAAAATAAAATTATCTTGACCTTCGAGGGGGGGCGGGGCGCCCCCCTAATATAATGGTAGGGGAAACACTGCCATGGGGCTGCTAAAAATACTGTACTCATGTCACATGGTAAACGGCACGTGGTTAAAATACGGGTCGGCTACGCTGTTGAATAAAGTGTGACTTGGCTGATGAGATAGAAATGGCTCCGAAAAAGGTTCTACTTTGTGTGTAAATGGGTTGTATTTGTGAAATCCAACATGGACCCAGTTAACGTAATTTGAAAACTTCAAAGTGACTTCAAGTTCAACTGCACGGATGCTATTCGTACAACAGGTGGCAACACAACCTGAAACGCTAGCGTCCCAAACCAATGGAATCGTCCCCAACCGCAGCTTTCACACGTTTCGTAGTAAGTTAAGAGAAGTAAATACTTCTTACCAAGCTAAAAAATATTAATTTTCATTTATCATTTAATTATTTTATTTATCCATTATTTGTGGATTAATATATGTGGTATTTGTTGTAAACAGAGTTAACAGTTAATGACCAAAAAAACATTTGTAAACTAAACTTTGGGGGAAAAAATAAAATAAAAAATTGCCCACCCCTACATGCAGGTTTGATTGAACGTTACTAATTCATTCTTAGAAAAATTACTAAAACAGTGGGTTGCTTTTTATGGAAAATGACTGCCAGTAGTAATGGAATTTCTAATTGGGAATGTTGCTTTAACACTGGCACGTCATCCTAACCGGCTGAGCTACAGTCATTCTGATTTAGTTTTATGAAACTTTAACATATGGATGACCTACATTTTGAATAGTTTTGGAATGTATATAGATTAAAACATTTAAATGCATGCATTTTATGGCTGCACTGGGGCAGTAAAAACAGATTCTTTCTCTCTTCTAGAACATCAGTGCATTAAATGGTGCTTCACTCAAGGCTTTTCACAGACGTGCTTCAGCAATCAGTGACAGAACAGTTACTCTGCTGTCTGAATGTTTAAAATTTCTTTCATCAGTTTCTTGTGAAGCATTTTACAAGTGGGCCGTTTAGTTTGAAAATTGGCTTGTGTAATATCACTACAGTCGTTTAATGGGATGAGTGGTAAGTGTGATTTTTGCAGGATATGTTTTGCATATTGTATAAAGCGATGGGAATCAGTGTAAGTTCCACTGTGCAAATTCTCATGTTAGGCCTGATGTGCAGTCACTGAACAAAAATAGCACAAATGACTGCAACACAACCTTAAATTCTATGAAAAATGAGTACAAAACTCGACCTTAAGTAAGTTCAAAGTCTAAAAAGAGGGCATTCGGACGTTGGGAGTACTTAAGCAGCGAATGTTTGTTGCGTCACAAGAAATGTGCAGGTCTTTCAAAGCAGAATTTGTGGAGTGATTTTTAAATAAGCTGTTGCCACATTACCGCTTGCTCCCAGTGACACTGATGCTTCTTGTTTTCAGCTGCCCTCTGAGGGATAAGGATGTAATGTTTCTTGTCTAGCAGAATATGAAGTCATGCAGTGAGGCACTCAGCTTGTGCTCTTCATTCTCCAAGCCTGCCTGGCCCTCTGGCTGTTTGCACTAATGTGTGTGTCTCTCTACCTGCCTGCCAAGACCGAAGACCTCCAGCTGCTCATGCAAAAAATGGAGAACTGGGCTCACCGCCTGTACCCCAAGCTACAGTTCGAAGACTTCATCGACAGACTGGAGACTCTAGGAAGTAAAAAGGAAGTGCAGGTATAGCGCCGAAGTGAACGAGCGTCAGTGTGGATGCTGCGATAGGAGTCTCGATTCAGGTAATCTTCCTCAAACTCGTTTTTTTTTTCTTTCCCCAGACCTGTTTAAAACGAATACGCCTGGACATGCCACTAATGCATGAGGATTTTGTTAGCAGAGCAGGTAAGAAATGTAACCCTGTGGCTTGTGCATCTGCAGGCTGTACAGAAATCTTTGAGACTAAAGGCGGGGAAGCTCCGCATTGTCGGCAGGGCTTCTGTGTTCTGTCTTAGTTACAAACTCATCCTAATAACATCCAGGCAGCACAAAGAGCCACTTCACTTGCCGTACAGGCGCCTCCTGCTGCCTGTGGTTTGTGAGTGTCCTGCCTTTGTGCTGTGGAGCTGCCCAGGAAGCCTCACATGGACAATGAGTCCTCTAGGTTATTTTAGTTCTTTGGACAGTGGCTGAATTCACTTGGGGGTGGGAGGGGAGTGATTACCAATCCCAACAGAAAGGGACACCATCTATAACATCAGAAAGCATAAAGCAAGATGGATAGATAATCCCTTAGTGATTTGGCCTTTTTATGAAAGCATTGGAACTTTTTCAGGGGAAGAGGAGGAGGGCATATCAACAGAGGGCGCTACGCCCAATGAGCCAGACCCATTTGGAGACTATAGCTCTACAGAATCCGCCCCGTTATCCTCCACATCGGCAGCAGCCCCACTCACGGAGGAGCAGAGGCGTCGCATTGAGCTCAACAAGCAGCTAGCTTTGGAGAGAAGACTGGCACGGCGGCAGGAGGGTACGCAGGGCACTGCCCAGCACCCCTGGGTACCCCCACAATCACCCGTCCGATGAGCGTTATTCAAAAGCAAGGCCGCTCATTACAAGAGCCACATGCTGCCTATTGTCATTTCATCACACGTTTGGAATTCTATCTCTAGGAGCGTCCCAGCTAGGCGGCCCCCGGGCCGCTGCGGAGGAACCCTCCAGCTTTTCAGCCCCTTCTCCCACTGGGGACGACGGGGAGTCCGGTGTGAGGGAGGATGTACTGCCGCAAGACTCGCTGCAGCCTGGGGAGGACGCATCCGCACCGGTACCTGCAGACAGACCCGGCCATGATGGCAGCGACTGATTTCAGGTGCCTTCTGAGTCACCTGCTGGAATGTTGCCAAAACATCTGAGCGTGCATAGAAACGATCTTGCAATTCTCCAACGAATGCGATAACTCAGAGCTTGTGTCCAGTTCCCTTCAAATTTGCTGGCTGCCTGAAATCCTCAGTAGTACATGGGTATTTTTGCGAGGAGCAGCTGAGTGTGGACTTTAGTACATTCCACTTACACCCCCCCCCCCCCCCCCCCCCCCCCCCTGCTGGCCCCTCATCATTGTTCCCACACCGGCATCCTGAAAGCAGACACTGGTACTTTGAAGAGCTTCTCCTACACAGTGAAACTCACTGTAGGTGCTCAATGATAAATGATATCTTAGTTTTCTTTTCACATTAAATTCATTTGTAAGTTTTTGTCTTTTTAATGTCAAATAAAATACATTTTGTTCTAACCTTTAATGTATTGTATGCAAATGACCATTCAACTGACACGAAAAATAGCTGCAATTCAGAGGTAATAATACCTCAAGGAACATTTTAAGCTGCCATAATTTCCATTAACTCATTAGAAAGCTTAAGAATTGTATACAGATTTTTAAAATGTCTTCACCTTTCCAACGACAATTATATTTACATTTACAATGCAGTGCAAAAATATATATAAAAGGTGTGTAAGTTCAGTGTAAAACCACCTTTCCTGAGGAAAAAAGGGAATATTAAATAAAAAAAGACAATGGGGATTTTTAATCCCCATAAAACACAACTGTCTATAAACTTATGCAGGGGTAAGAAAGTTGCAACAGATGTAAAATTTCCCCTGAATGGACTGGATTGTCCTCTGAACGGCCACCAGTGTGTTGGTTCTGGGTGAGCTGTGGTGTCGGGTGTTAACTTGATGGCAGACTGGGGCCCTGACAGTTGGACTCGTCCAGCAATGCTAGCTCCCTGATCTCCTGCAGGAGGCAGTAGAGATTGGGCTTTTTGCTCTGCTGGTACTCTCGCTCCTCCTTGGAGAAGCGGGAGACCGTGCCGTGCTCCTCTGCCTGCTGCGAGGCCTCCTCAGCCCAGCGCACCACCTCCTGCACCAGCTCTGTCCCGCTCTTCCCTGTCGGTCGGCGGTCTGGCCCCGGGGCCTCGAGGGCTCGGTTGCTGACGACATCCAGGTGCAGGTTGCCAGCGTGGCAGCGTGACACCTGCACAGAGATCCGCACCTGCGGAAGCCATGGGCACGAGCCACAGATAAACACTACAGCTGCAAGAGCTTATGGGATATCCACAGCCAAGAGAATACTTGGTTTTAAATGAGGTTCATAAAATTATAGAGCAAGTTTTTCTGTTTTCATAAATGCCCTGTATACTGTTTTATAAATGGAGTCATTTATGCATAAAATATTAAGACCCTAACCGTTAACAGCTTAACTCACAGTGATGTGGTCAAAGAGCCTGAAGGTGTGAGTCGCACCACCAACAGTGACACAGCAAATCCGATCCGGGAATCTCTGCAGAGAACCGGGCCGCCACTGGCAGCTCCCGTCACCGGTCACATCCACCACCTGGTTCTCCCGGTTCCTGAGGTACACGGCTCCTTTCACCCCGTACCTGCAGACCCATCGGTGGAGGGGGGCATTAAATCCGGTCCGGCTTTGGCCTGATGTACCAAGTTAGAGAGGAATGGGTCGGGATTACCGTGGGATGAAAACCAGCAAGCCATTGGCACGTATGGCGTAGACGACCGCTTCTGCCACACAGCGTGGGTCTGTCAGGGGATCTTTGTCTTTGAAATAAAGGCACTGGAACAGCTCTGTGGACTGCTTCTGAGCGTGCTGAGCCGCCTGTGGAGGTAGATCAGCGTTACTGGGTTCTACAGCACCCCCAAGCTGTCAAATGCACAGCACGGAAAGTCGCCCTCACCCTGTTCTTGCCGTTGATGTGCCGGGCCGTCTCCTCCAGGCCTTTGTTATTAGCCGGGGTCTCCACGGGCTCTGCGGCGCCCTCACTCTCAATGGCCGACATGAGGAGGCGGTGCACCACCATGTCGGCATAGCGACGGATGGGGGAAGTGAAATGGGTGTAGCGGTCCAAAGCCAGGCCTGATAAAGACAGCCGCACACACACAGGTAGAGAGGAACAGTTTGCTAAATCCCATTTATCGATATCCTGATTGTTTACAAAGCGAACTGGCATGAGGGGAGGCGATGACGCTTTCTTGGCAGAGGGCAGCTGGCTAGCGCTTACCGTAGTGGTAATACTGCTCCTGTGGACAGGAGCCTGTGGAGAAGTAGAGGGCGTTGGACATTGCCTGGGTGGCCATCACTCGAAGCAGCCGGTTCACCAGAGGGTCATGCAGGTCCACGGCCCGGTCCAGGGAGTCTGCCAGCGCCTTGTTGGACCTGGAGCGTTATAGCAAAGTACTTCGAGTAGAGGATACACCAGTAATCGGCCTTCATACTGTACTGCGTGGAAGAGGCAACTGCAGCTTGTGTCAAACTGTGTGACGGGTCTCTGGTCTTTCATCACTGGAGTGACAGAAGGAGGGTTCATGTATCGCACCAGAAATCTAATAATTCTGTGTGACATATTCATGAGATGTTTGGCACTCGGGTTTGATAGTGTCAGGTCAAAGGGATACTGCACACTCAGCCCATATTTATCCTTGGCAGACATCTGCACTCAGCCAGAAATTTCTTGCTGACACTCAGCAACGCTCTCATTAAGGGAGGAGATGTGTAAACACCATCCGTTCCCTTTTTATATATATATACAAGCTGCCAGACATCAGATACGAGTCACAGCCGCTGTTTTCTTTTAATGAATACATACATTTCTCATGTTTAGTGTCTGGTTTAGGGCAATCCTGCAAAACTCCCTAGAAGACATCTGGCCAGCTCGGGCCCCGTCAGGCTTACCGGGTGTCGATATGGAAGCCCCGTGCCTTGGCGCTGTCTGTCAGAGGGCCAAAGTGCTCCTGCCGGGGGGGTGGGTGGCGGCGCAGCAGGGCCTGCTGGGGGAAACTCTCTTGGATCTTGCGCGCCACCCAGTGGTTGGCGTAGATCATGCATTCGGCCACTGTCTCGTGGATCTCCAGAGGCACCCGGGGCACCAACGCCGTGATGTTCTTATCTGCGTCCAGCTGCGCCCGAACCTCCAACCCTTCCAGCTCCAGTGCGCCCCCCTGGTCCCGCTGCGTCCGCAGGTGCCGGGCTACCCGGGTCAGCTCCGCCAGGGCCTGCTTCAGCTCCCCCAGCCTCTCCCTCCTGTCCTCCTCGGCCAGCGGTGACAGCTCCGGAACCTCTGCTGGCTCCTCGTTTAGCAAGCTCTGGGCCACCTCGTAGCAGAGCTGGTAGGAGGAGCGCATCAAGGTGCGCCCGAACCACACACTGCGCACTGCCAGGGAACAGGCATCCAACTCCCAGATCACACTCATGGCGTACCTGCAAGCAGACAGGGTGGGTACGGAACACCTGTAAGCAGACAGGGTGGGTACGGAACACCTGTAAGCAGACAGGGTGGGTACGGAACACCTGTAAGCAGACAGGGCGGGTACGGAACACCTGCAAGCAGACAGGGCGGGTACGGAACACTTGCAAGCGGACAGGGTGGGTACGGAACACTTGCAAGCGGACAGGGCGGGTACGGAACACCTGCAAGCGGACAGGGCGGGTACGGAACACCTGCAAGCGGACAGGGCGGGTACGGAACACTTGCAAGCAGACAGGGCGGGTACGGAACACTTGCAAGCGGACAGGGTGGGTACGGAACACTTGTAAGCGAACAGGGCGGGTACAGAACACCTGCAAGCAGACAGGGTGGGTACGGAACACCTGCAAGCAGACAGGGCGGGTACGGAACACCTGCAAGCGGACAGGGCGGGTACGGAACACTTGCAAGCAGACAGGGCGGGTACAAAAACCTGAAAACAGCCACTCATTCATTCAGCTTAAGTAGCATTACAACCATGGCGACTCACCCTGAACACACCTGTACATTGTAATATCAGCACTAAAATATTATAATCCTACTGCCTTAGAGATGACCCCCCTCACCTGTCTACCCCCCCCAGCAGGGAGCACAGGTCTGCACTCAGTACAGCAGGCAGCATATCGTAGCGGCGGTCAGCCAGGTAGTACGTGGTGGCCCTGTGTATGGAGAACAGTGTTTCAGCCACACTGTACCCTGCGTCTTGACCCCCCCGCTCGGCATCTTGTGGCCCCCAGACCTCGAGCGGGCCTCCAGGTCTGTGAGGGATCCGGCCCTCACGAAGTGGGTGACGTCAGCGATGTGGACGCCCAGCTCCAGACGGGCCCCCCCGGGCAACATGCGCACAGAGAGCGCGTCGTCCACATCCTCGCACCCCTGCGGGTCAATGCTGAACACCAGGTGAGAGGCCCTCAGGTCCCGCCGAACCACCTCCTGACCAGGGTCCACCCTCCAGGGGTTCTCCTTCGAATTGACCGGCATCTCCCGGAGCTGCGGAGCGTAAAGATGTGCACAAACAAACCTTAACATGTACAGACACTGACATTTCACTGTTCTATACCGAAACATGTAACGGTTCACGTATTTACCAGTATGCACAATGAAACAGCCGAATACATTCATTGACACGGGCAGAACCTGAATTTAGAAGTACATGTTCACCATGGAAAACATTATGCTAATTGTGGCTGTGAGTTGGTTACAGCTCATGCTGGTAACAGTCAGTCAGGCGGTTTGGGAACATTATGGTTTCCCGGTTAATTACACCAACACCGGAGAAAGTGAGTCGTCGATAAGACTGTCTTGGCTATGTTACTGCAAACTCAGATATGTTACCGGAAACACATCCATTTCAGACATCATCATCTGAGGGTGTGTATGACTGGGGCAGGGCAGAAAGGGCCTCTGTACATTAATGTGCATTTAAGCACTGTGGCATTTCAGGTGCTTTTCCCAGGAGATTCAGACTGGGATAAAAAATAAATAAATAACTGAGGCTATAGGGAACTTTATTGCTACATACCATAACTGTATTACAGAAGCTGGGATTTAGTTAATTTTGATTGTTATGATGTTATTATATTTGATTTTTATTAATTTATTTTACATATTTATGTGTAAATTAGTGTCTCTTAGGTTTTATTATTTAGACATTCGTAGACACGTTGCCTTTGGTTTCAAACTGTTCCCAACTGTGTTTGTGTTTGCAGTTTTAGTGATAGTTTCAAAACCCAAAACCGAGGTTTGTACAGAACTGTGAATCTGGTGTACCATCACACCCCTATCCAACACAGCGCCGTGACAGACTACAACCCCGTTTCCAAAAAACGTGGAACACTGTGTTAGCCGTAACATTACATTTATATTTCACATAGCGTCCCACCTTTTCTGGAAGCGAGGTTGCGTTTACCCTCTCACTGATTCCCTCTACTTTAGCTTATCCATAACTTAATTGTTTCTGATCTCCAAAGAAATGCAGAATA